TTTCATGCACCAGCAGCAACGGTATCTATGCATAGACTCAGACGGATGACAAGAAGTCGAGGAAAGTAGTAGTTTTGGCTTTGGTTTGTTGCCCGAATTTGACAACAGGGTGCTTCGGTGGGCACGAACAACGAAAACGTGGTGAAACTGAGAGTTCTCTTCTCGACAGATAGATGATTGGGCCGCAAGGGCGATCGAGTGATCGATGTTGGTTTTTGAGGTGATTCGATCGCACTATATGCATAAATGTTGTTACAATATTGCTATTGCAATGTTCATGCAGTGAGGAGTGGATAACCGGTTTCCCAGACACGGGTAAGGAAATCTATATTTACAAGGGGATGCATGGCGTACATGTCGAAGATTGAGACAACTCACTACGACCCCCCGCACAATAACAACAACAACCACCATACCATCATCATCAACATTATCATCGTCAACAGCAACAATCATATCAATCTTCACTATTTGCTCTAGGGCTGGAAGAGTTGGACAACCAGGAAAGGCGGCGGCTCTCTCCATCCCCTCCAAGAGACCAAGACAAGGGGGAGGGGGAGGGGGAGGGGGAAGGGGAAGAGGAAGATCAAGAGGAAGATCAAGGTCTGGATGAAGGCGGCCGCCTCGAAAGCTTGGGCGATGTGGTGCAGCATGTGGGGGCGGCAGGGTCAAGGAGGAAGCTGCTCAGCTGGAAGGTGAAGGTGGAGTGTTTTCTTTTTTTCCGCTTGAGACTTGCCGGCAATTGTCGGCAAGCTACCGCTGTAGCGTGTTCCACGCAACAAGTCCACAAGTCCACGGTACTGTAGCTTTGAGATTCCGCATCTTGGGCCTGCTCTGAGCGGAGCCCTGTTTGTTTGTGTGTTTCTTTCTCCATATGACTTTTTATTTGAAGCCTACGTCTCGCTATTCGTACCTCTTTTTCACCGCTAGGTGTACAAGACAGAGAGAGAGGAGTACAAGAGAGAGAGGGGGGGGGGGGGGGGGGGGGGGGGGGACCCCAAATCCGGGATGCCCAAATCCTTTGACCCTTTACCCCCCATCCCTACAAAACCGGGAAGGAGC